CCAGTGAATTACATTCACAGGTCTTTGCTACACAAAGCCTGGTACAGGAACACAGCATGGGAACTGCTGAGATTTTGTCAGAAATGCCCTTTGGCCCCCTCCCGAGACCTCCGGAATTAGAATCTGCAGTTTAACCAGTTAAACCAGTTTCACTCCACGTGATTTGTACTCATATGCATTATTCAAGTTGGAGATGCTCTGCCTTGAACTCATGTCAAGCAAACTAGCCCAATGTGAAAGAATAGGCCTCCCGATAGGAGGGGAGAAACCTCATTGCTACCATGCTGGTGCTGAGGCTCTCAGAGAATTCAGCTATTTGCAAAAGTGGGCTAAGCTTAAAGAAGCTGTTCAATACTTCAAAACAAAGCTGCACTCCTAGCGGCTACTCCTGCAGCTTTGCAAATACTGGTGGGGGCGATCTGATAGATCTGTTTGAGCACACCAATCTCGATGCTATACACGTTAGCTGCCTTCACGTTGAGAAACATCCAGTATGCACACCCCAAACATAGAGAACCTGCTCAAGCTCGACTGTGATGGGAAAATTTTGTTCAAAATCAGATAAAACTCAAAACTCTTTCCTATGAGCGGTTATGAACATTCACACCCCCCACCTCCTGAGTCAAATGACTTAAGAACATTATTTCAAAAGGAAAGTAATGGACATATTAGGCATAGAGAAGCAGTTCCCATTTTCGTTTTGGGTTATGTTGGATATTTTCCAGTTGCCCCTGTTGACCTGTTGTCCAAACCTATAGAGAATTTTTGTAATTTATTTGAGCCAAACTGACGACTGGGAGCAAGAGCTCAAATTCTCTAGAAAATAATACTTTTGCAATTTCTTTTATGTATTTGAAATTAAGGAGGGAATGTAAGGAAGATTACATGAGGGCTGGAGAAAGTAAAGTGGGGATTGGATTAAAGATTACATGCTTTCTTAAGGGTGGCTATGCTTTCCAGAAGTATTACTTCTGGCATCTCAAAGGTGTGTTAGACTGGATGCACAAGTGCCAAGAACAATCAATGGTCAGGGCTTGCTTAAAAACTTTTCACTAAAGAAGTTATATGCCTGGGGCGTGACTACTCACCATGACCTGCCCTTTTAGGAATGTTTGATCAGATCCCCCTGTGAGGTTGCTTTCCATCGAAGCCCCTTCCGTCCACACACTGCATATTCACTCTCGGTTCTTCTCAACCGTGCTCTGAGACTTGGGAGGCTAACCTTGGACTGTCCACCAGCTTCCAGTTGGGTCCAGCTAGTGGCAGGCCCTGGCAGGAGATCAGGAGAGTCAGGTTCATGGTACTTATTCCCCTGGTGTAACCAAGCAGAGTTCATCCACCCAGCGCTGGGTGGATTGAGAGTCATGAGTGACCCCTTAATAGCTCCTCCCAGCCAGAACCCATCAGCTAGATCTTACTGGTCCCTATTTTGACCCCTGGCTTTGGATCCTAGTCTTCGCTGGGCGTAGGGAGGACCCAAGGGCAATACTGCACACACAAATTGGGAGGAAGTGGGAAAACAGGCCAAGGCTGATAGAGCTGTGGAACTCGAATGGGCATGGGAGAACGGAGGGCAGGCGTCCAGCGGGGGAGGTGGGGCGTGTTGGGGACAAGCCCCGGGTGATCCAGGGACTGGCCTGCACTGCACTGGAACCCGGGACAAGCCAAGACGTTGGCCCTCCAAGGTTCCTAGAGAGGCCGCCGAGGCCCCGGGAGGAAACGCGCGTGCGCAACCGGGTCGGGTGGAGAGACGGGCGCGAAGCGGACGGTGCAACTGGAGGTCTGACCGTCGGGGCCTCGGGAGTGGGTGAGTAGTCCTGCGGGGCGCCGGGGGTGGGTGGGTCGGGGCAGGGTTGCGGAAGGGCGGCGACAGCGATCCTAGCCCTATCCCCTCCATTTTGGAGTG